CTGTAATGGATTGGTCACCTATGTCAGTAGTGATGCTTTTCCCGGGACCAGAACAATCAGTACTAGCCTCTGTAAACCAATGTCACTAATGAAGTCTTTCATGTATATAACACCTTTATTGAATTCCCATGTACTGTACTCCTCAAGCCCTGTGATCAAGGGCCCTTCTATGTTTGGGACCTGAAAGCATGGATCATGGCATCTTAGGTTCAAAGGTTTGCTGCTAACTTATCACTCAATGGTCCATTCAGCCCACTGTTAACTCCTTACCAGACCCTATTATTATTATCAATATTATTTAATAATTCAATATCAAAGTGGCCTGTACTTAGATTGATGGTATCAACAGGACTCTCCCCAACACCAGAAGAGTAATGTCTTGCTCTCCTTAACCCTTTAAGTAATGTTGCACGTAGGTATTTTATTCAGCTGAGAAAAACCCCTTTCGCTCAATGGGTTAAGGGTAAAGTCAAAGTACCTGGTGATGATGGCATAACCCACTCTGTCCAAAGAACCAATGCACAGGTATATTTACCCTCTGCTCCACCTCTTACAACATGAGTCTTGGCATTAGTACCCTACCTTATTTACGGTCAAAAGTACCACCATTTCAAAATCAAAACCTTAGTCTTACAAAATTTGGCCCATCATATATACTACTTCACCTCTCACTAATATTTTCCTCATCTTTATGGCTTCTGTCCTGTCCTGAACACTACCCTTCTTACTTACACTCCCTTCACTGATCTTTAAAGTCACCTTTGACATGGCCATCAGAGTGGTTCAAGGGATGTCTCTTCAACAGGAAGTAAGGTGTTTTCCATGTCCTTAGTGCAACAAAGACTTTTGAATTGAGTTCTCCAGCAGGTAGGGCACTTAGCTGCACACTGGCTGTCTTATTGAATACGCTCATTAGGGGTTTTAAACTGTGACATAAGCTTGTCCTCAGTTATGTTGATGATATATGCGTATGATCCCCAAGTCAACAAACAGATTACAATCCCCCCCCACCCCCACTCAGAGAGTTCTCACAAAATCCTGGTTGAGGAGGATAAGCACATTAAAAATCCTAACCCATTCAGTGTCCATAAAATATCACTGATCAGTGTATGAACTGTAGGTACCTGGGTGTCCCCACTGTTGCCTGGGCCAAGCTGTACACCTCCTGCTTCAAGACCAGACTCTGGGAGTCAATGTTCCTATAGCTTCGACATTCTATCCCTGATACAGTATACTGTACAAGGTACTGAACTTGTTGACTATTATGCCATACACCTTTTTCATGTCTCTAATCAGCATCTCTACAAATTTAATATCACATAAAACGGTCATGAGAGCCATCCTCGGCTGTCCTACGTCCACCCGTTATCAACACGATAAAGTACTATGCTTCACAAGTATTGCTCTCATGAACCAAGTACTTCATATTGTTCTACCTGGCTCCTGCTCTACACTATAAATATTGCCTTTCCAATCCTGTGCTAACACAGTAGAGCCAGGCTAACCTCCTACTATATACTCCTCAGCTGTACCATTCCTACTCCTATCATCCCTCCTTGCCCACATCTTATAATGCTGGGAGGTTGTATATGCCATCCTCAAGTTCCTCAACTTCACCCAAATACCTCCTCTATCTCAAACCCTTCTATTCCTACTTAAAGCTCTCTCTGTTTTCTGAAACTATCTGTGTATGCCTTGATAGATAATTCAAGAGGTATGAGCTGTGGATGTGCCATACTGTATATGACAGGAGTCAATGTGCACACAGTATGCCTTCATATACTGTATGACTAAATAAATACCAGTGAGTGACCTCGTGGGTGTTTAGTTACCTTGTACTGTAGATCACTTCTGTCATGCAGCTGTCCTCAAGACTCCCAGTCTGCCTTTACCTCTCTTACCAATGCCAAGCCCGAGTACCTCATCACTGTCCACAACATACAACTTCCTATCCAGACTTCCAACCTTGACCTTACTATCACCTTCCTGTGACTACTATCCCAAGTTGGCAGCCAAACAAGAATCTAGTAAACTTTCAATTAATACACACCTTGGACGCTTGAGCAATTAACAACATGTGTACCTCCAGGATGCCTGGGAGGAACTAGATCTCAGTAATGCTGAGACACCAGGTATTATTAATACAGCACTCTGTACTGCATATTATGACAAGAAGTCACACATCCCATTACTATGAAATCCCAAGATATAGCACCAGGTTCTGTGACACCCTGTTAGCATATATCAGGTTCTGACACCCTGTTAGCATATATCAGGGTGGATTTTTGCTTACTATGGCAGGTCAAGTGACAACCCACACATTACCAACACTTAAGGCAAGAACAGTACTGTAATGTAAAAGGCCTTATAAAAATACTAAAAAACAAATACTTTATAGTGTGTAACATTCTTTCAGCCATAAGGTCAACTATACCCAAGTTTATATTACCAAGGCTTACTATGTGTGCCACACACCATGATCTCTGTACTTTATCCCATTATGATTTACTCATGTACTGTATCATCAAAACACTCCTGAAAGGCCATCTGCTTCACCTTTTGTACTTGTGACCACTGTACAGTATTAGCCCATCAGGCTCTTACAATCTAACATGGGGTGAGGTAAATAGTTATGAAACTATTTTGGGCAAGGTTTCACCAAAAGTCAATATAACACAAATTAGCCACACTCAATTTGAAACAGATATACAGTAATTTGGTAAGTAATGGGTCTAATATTTCCTGCACGGTTATGGTCTATATTATAATAATTTGGAACATAGAAGAGATTGTGACTCTCTACAACCTTAATAATAAAACTCACAATTAAAAAATGGCTGAAATTATTAATCCATTTCAGTGTATACTTTGGTAACTGAAGACTCCCATTTCAGTGTATACTTTGGTAACTAAAGACTCCCATTTCAGTGTATACTTGGTATAAAGACTTCCATTTCAGTGTATACTTTGGTATAAAGACTTCCATTTCAGTGTATACTTTGGTAACTAAAGACTCCCATTTCAGTGTATACTTTGGTATAAAGACTTCCATTTCAGTGTATACTTTGGTAACTAAAGACTCCCATTTCAGTGTATACTTTGGTATAAAGACTTCCATTTCAGTGTATACTTTGGTACAAAGAATCCCATTTCAGTGTATACTTTGGTAACTAAAGACTCCCATTTCAGTGTATACTTGGTATAAAGACTTCCATTTCAGTGTATACTTTGGTATAAAGACTTCCATTTCAGTGTATACTTTGGTATAAAGACTCCCATTTCAGTGTATACTTTGGTATAAAGACTCTCATTTCAGTGTATACTTTGGTACAAAGACTCCCATTTCAGTGTATACTTTGGTAACTAAAGACTTCCATTTCAGTGTATACTTTGGTATAAAGACTCCCATTTCAGTGTATACTTTGGTATAAAGACTCTCATTTCAGTGTATACTTTGGTACAAAGACTCCCATTTCAGTGTATACTTTGGTAACTAAAGACTCCCATTTCAGTGTATACTTTGGTATAAAGACTCCCATTTCAGTGTAAGCTTTGGTATAAAGACTCCCATTTCAGTGTATACTTTGGTATAAAGACTCCCATTTCAGTGTATACTTTGGTAACTAAAGACTCCCATTTCAGTGTATACTTTGGTATAAAGACTCCCATTTCAGTGTATACTTTGGTATAAAGACTCCCATTTCAGTGTATACTTTGGTATAAAGACTCCCATTTCAGTGTAAGCTTTGGTAACTAAAGACTCCCCAACTATAAAAATTTGGGCAAAGTTCTTCAATCAGTATTTTAAATGTCTTCTTACTACTACTGTACTATAAAAAGCAACCCCTCAAGTTCTCTTGAGATTCCATTTCAAAGAACTTTAAAAAATAAAATAAAATCTGATCTCCCACACTTTTTTATGACATGAATTGCACAAATCTAAAGCTGTGCTTACTACAGTACCAAGGTCTGAAGTTCCCCACCACTGCCAAATCCAAGGGGCTATAACTCATTTGGCATTGCTTTATATTTATATATTACAAGAAATGTAATTGAAATCCATTTCTGGAAAAAAAAAAAAAAAATCTGCTAACTCAATGTACACTTCATTACAGTGGCGGGGAACAACATAATATATCCACTGGAAAGCAATTGAGTCTGTTCAAGATTTTAAGACCCTAAATACCTTATTGGTTATGCAGTATGAAAAATGCTTACATCAATTCCTTTCAAATTTAATGGATCGTTATTGTGCAAATGATACTCATATATAAATCAACACACTGACAATGTAATACAGTACAATGATTATCACAAAAAAGTACAGTATATGGTAAAAGAACTAGGCACTCTGGCTTCAAATTTGTCTTACTTGCAACCCCAGTGAGAACTGTCTCATTCACCTGTGTGACCACTGATATAAGGCTGGGGAAGACTAGAGAGGAAGGTACCAGATCCTTCCTGCAGTGCCACATTGGAATCAGCTATGAAAAGTATCTGTGAGAGCAGTATACTGTACTGTAATCTAATTGGTACTATCTAAAATGGGTAAAGAACCACATTGGCAATGATAAAAGAGGCAAAGTAATGAAGTGTTCCTGAATGAGTAAAAAATGGTGGGTACATAATAAAACAAATTCTTGTCAAAATATATAAGGATGGAAGAAACACATCAAAGACGACAAATTAATTGGTGTGACATGGACGACAGAATGTGAATACAGTCCAGTACTGGTACAGTAGTCAAGGGGTAAAAAGAGGAAGCCTCTAATGAATTCTCCATGAACTGGTTGTGCAATTCATAGCTTGAATGAGTAACAATGAATCAGTTCTTAGAAGGGAAAATAAACTGAAAGGATTTAGGCGGGAATTTGAGAAAATTGTAAGTTTTTTAGTACAATATTGTAAGATGAAAGAAAATACTGTAGATACAGATCGGGATTCTGCCTAATATATAAGTGTAATGAATATAATAATGTAGTGGTCTAAGAAATTATTGATACTGTACTGAACACTGAGGAACTGATGTTTGCATAAATCACATAACCACACAATGCCATGAGCGTAAGATCTACAGTAAGGTAAACTTTATACGTCACTTTCAGATCTTTTCCTCCTCACTCACTCAATTCCACTCATACGTACGTTATCCGTAATAAAAATTCAAGTATTAATTCCGTGTTTAGAATTTCCTAACATCAAAAATGGGGCATGTAAACTCACATTCATAACTATAAAATAAGTAAAATAACTTAAAGCTGTTACTCACCACTCAGCAGGCTGCGAAAGCTCAGGTTGGTCAGGCTAATTGGAAAAAAATAAATAAAATGTCAATATGAACATCACAACAATATTCCTGAATTTATGAATACAGTTACCAATTATTAATTCCCACATTGGAGGAAATATCTGTACTAAGAATTATTTACAAATGACCTTATTCAACATTTCTCTTGTACTTAAGAATGTCTCCAATTAACACCATCTTTAGAAACTGGGCCTGAAAATGTCAGTTACCCAGTCAGCAGCCGTAATACAAAACGAGCCTTAAATTTGAAGATACAAAATGAATTAAGTATCAAATTAAAGATAAAAGTATAGGAAAAATGAAATCTATGATAAGAGGGGTTTCTTATGTAACCATCCAAATGAGATGGTTCATTTCATATTGTATACAGCTCTTTACAATCTAACGCTAAAAACAAATACCCGGTATGCCATGATGTGCAACCTTTATATTTGTCCTTATATCCCCAGTAACAGTTTACATCCTGGTATTCATGATATTAAGAATAAATGAATGATTATGAATACTACAGTATCTCAGCGCTGCAACAGCCAGGGTCATATGACGCCAGAGATAATTAATGGTAAAAGGTTGACATTACAAAGGTAACCAAAATTACACCTTATAACAAGACTGGACTAAGGAGGAAGAAGTATAAATGAAGATTTTTACTGTTCTACATTTTTTATTTATTTCTTTTTTTGTATTAATTTCCTTTTTATTTTGAAAGATGTTTGACTTATTGAAAACCAGGATATAATTTTTTTCAGGCCCCAGTATGAAATAAACATGCACAAATACTCACTTTCCGTTATGCTGGCTGTTTGTCCGTTCAAGGAACTGCCAACTTGGTACCTGTAGGAGTGATGAAAGACCCCGTCCTGTCTTACCATCACAACTGTCTTCTGATGTGGTCTCGCTGCATTGTCGACTTTTGGAGGATGTGGGTGCCTGGACTTCAATGGTGCCAGTGCGCTGCCTTGTTTGGCGGGTTGACATTTCAATAGGAACCCTTGGTCTCTTGTTGGGCTGTGATTCTTGTGAACCAGTTAAGTTATTCACACTTCCTCTCCCCCTTCCTCTACCTGACCCCCTACCATGGCCTTGACCACTACCCCTTACCCTTGGCATATTATCTCTACTGGTCTCTTGATTCGAGTCAGACGAGCTAACATTTCCAACACCTCCTTGATGTGCTTTACCTTTTCTGCCACGTCTTCCTCTCCCTTTGGATTTAATACTTCCATTTTCATCACTAAAACTTGCTACTGAACAGAGAGATAAAGTATCAGAAGACTGATCTGAACATGATGCTTTATTTTCTATGTTTTCAGTTATATCTGAGGGTAATGTTGGCCCATAATGACTAGAAGCCTCACTAACAATAGCTTCACTGTGCTCATGAATTGCAGATGTTTGGGACAGATCTGTAACTGAATCTGCACCACTTTCAATCATCAATGTTCCGCCATCTCTTGACACTGAATAAATACTTTGAGCCTCTTCATCTACATTGCACAACCTTGAAAGATCTTGATTATGTTCTGCAATTTGCTTTTCAAGGTCTGGATCATTAGTAGCTTCTCTCTCCCCTGGATCATTAGTAGCTTCTCTCTCCCCTGGATTATTAGTAGCTTCTCTCTCCCCTGGATTATTAGTAGCTTCTCTCTCCCCTGGTTCAATAGTAGCTTCTCTCTCCCCTGGTTCAATAGTAGCTTCTTTCTCCCCTGGATCACTAGTAGCTTCTTTTTCCCCTGGATCATTAGTAGCTTCTCTCTCCCCTGGATTATTAGTAGCTTCTCTCTCCCCTGGATTATTAGTAGCTTCTCTCTCCCCTGGTTCAATAGTAGCTTCTCTCTCCCCTGGTTCAATAGTAGCTTCTTTTTCCCCCGGATCATTAGTAGCTTCTCTCTCCCCTGGATTATTAGTAGCTTCTCTCTCCCCTGGTTCAATAGTAGCTTCTTTTTCCCCTGGATCATTAGTAGCTTGTTTTCCCCCTGGTTCAATAGTAGCTTCTTTTTCCCCTGGATCATTATTAGCTTCTTTTTCCCCTGGATCATTAGTAGCTTCTTTTTCCCCTGGATCATTAGTAGCTTCTCTCTCCCCTTCTGGTATAGTTAAAGCTAGTTCTTCATTGTTGGTGGGCTCATTAACTGGTATTGATACAGCTTCTTCTTGAGAGTCCAAAGCCTCTGATCCTATGCTTTGTTGTTCATTAACAGCTACACTTTTTTCAACTGTTACCATGGCTGGGTGAATGTTAAATTGAAGGGGATCTTGAGGTGCTGATAATTTCAAGTCTGATGCCATTAGGCTCTTGAAATTATCATATGATGAAGTTTCTGCAACTAAATTATATTTAAAATTTTCGCTTGTTTCTATATCTCCCAATGACCCAAGAGAAGATCCTGAACAAGAAGAAAACTTGGCACTTTCCTCTTGCAGCTGAGGCACAGTAATAGTTGAACCTTTGTTAGCGTCCTCTTCATTGTAACCACTGTCATCACTAGCAGCAGAGGCAGCAGGAGACAGAAACTGAGAATCACACAACGCAGACACTTCCTCTTTAGCACAATCATTTGGTGCACAAACTAATGACTTAGCTTTATTATTATCAATTTTCTGACCTTTCTCCACTAAACTTTGTGGATTATCTAAAATTTCTTCAATTACTGATGAAGAATTACCTGTTAAATTACTGGCAAATTCCTCATTATAATTATAATTGCAAAGTCCATTTTTCCCTGTACTTGTAATTATTTGAGAAAAAGCTGATCTTTGACTGGGAATATGTCTTTCTTGTTCTCTATTATTTGAATCAATCACAGTTTGTTGCAAAACACTACACAAGTTAGGTTCTGTACTGGAAAGGTCTTCTACACTGTCTGTGAGTGTGTTATCCTTTACATCAAATCCTTTCATCCAGGATTCAAGTTCTGCATTTACAACTTCTAGTCCAGTATCATCACATGATGTGCCAGTTGCTGATTCCTTTTTGGCAGGGTGTGTTGGCAAGTCCAAATCAAGACTATTAAGCAACTCAAAGAAACCGTCACAGCTTGAATCAGTCTTCACCTCTGGAGGCTGAGATTGTGAAGGAACTTCAGTTTGATCGGCAGCAGGAGGATATTTCCTTGAAGATTTCTTATTTTTCCTACTGGGTTTTGGAGGTGCATAAGACTTTTGTAGGAGCAGTTCCACTTCTTTATCTGTGACAGATACCAGTGACTGGGCAGGACTTAGTATTGGGCTTTTAATATCTGATAGCACACCACTGGTAGAACTACCTGTACTAGTACTCCCCCCCCAAAACTGCCGACGTCCTGTAAACAGAAAGTACATACATTAGTACTGTTACCGCCACAGTAAGATAAACTAGAAGAGAGAAAGGAGAGGGATGGCCACAGTAAGATAAACTAGACGAGAGTGAGAGGAAAAAAAAGTGTTGACAACGAACTTTGCTGACGTGTTAAATGGCGCGCCGGTCACATGTTACTAAGGCGAGATGGAGCTTGTAACAGAGGGACAGTCTATCACCGTCTACTGTAAAGGCAACATCTTGATTCTCGCCAATAACAGTTTCCCGGAAGATATTATTCGCTCTCGTTGGTCAAACCCTAGACCCCAAAACGTGAGTGTGATTGTGAAATATATATTGATCAATGATCATATTATGCAAACTGTGTCCTGATGTATCAACAGTTGTAACATACGAGTTATATTTAAGAGGTTAATAGGTTATGTACTGTATATTGATCGTACTATTCAAACTGTGTGTCCTGATATACCAGCATTTGTTATACTGTATGTGAATTGTTCTTTAACAGGTTTTGACCAAATTATACTCATCGAGTCAATGACAAGGGTCTTATTATCCAGCACAAACCAATAACGCTCCTATGAGCGTTCACAAGTACATTACATATACCTGTACCGGTATAATAAAAGCAATGTGAGGGTGACAGTACATTAAAGGGTTTCCGAAGAGCTTGATAGATGGCAAATGTTACACCAGGGATATAAGATATATATAATGTGAAGTTTCTTTCAACTTTTCTGTGCATGTGAAGGCATTGTTTTTCATGTATGAAACATAACTCAACTAATATCTAAAGATCTAGAACACTGTTAATTTGCCTACATATTGTGTTCAGAAATACGTATTCACAATAATTAATAACTTTGCATTGTGTGTGTGTGTGTACTATAGTTAGGTTAGGTTAGGATTCCGTGACAGCAAAGTAGTAGTACTATACAGTAGTTATACAGTAGTTAGTAATTCTGACAAAAACTTACCCAAATATGATGATCGATGTGCGTTCTGCACCCTTATATTCCGAGTAATTACACAATCCCATGGTGATGACAATAATAGGGAGTCACATTCCACATTGTCACACCGCAACACTGCTTCTTCCAGAGAAAATTGAAAGGGGCGCACACGTCCTTCTCTGCAGTGTGCGCATGGACGATCCAAGCTCTGGAAACATAAATGAAGGTTTTGATTATGTAAAATACAAAATAAATAAAAGACTAACACTGACACATACAATACTAAAAGAGAAAATAGCAAACCTGAAATCGATTTGCAGTTGTCGAGCGATAAGAAAGTTGTCTTTAATTCAGATATCCCTTGTTTATCAATGGGGTTGCGTTACTGAAAACCTAACGTCAAGTGAAATTATCATTAAACGAGGGATAACAATAACACAGTGGACGAACAACAGGTTCAAATGGCAGGGCGCTAAAACAATGAGTACAGTAGTACATTACTGTACTCCCTAATAATAAAGCAATAATAAATAAGTTTGTTATAAATGGTTTCTAAATTAAACAATTGATTTATTAACACCAAACTTCCATATAAACAATGTAGTTCTGAGTTAAATGATTTACTGAGCAAAAGGTGAGCCTAATACTGTATCTTGACCTTTTCTTCCAAACTTCTCATAGTAAGCACTTTTTTATGATTCTCACGCGCACTGTCACTAAATTTCCTCTTAGGGCTCATGATTGTGGTTAAATTCGACCAAAGAGAAAAACTTTATGAGCAATCACACCTGGGTGACGCTTTGTTATATCGTATTGGCCACTTATCAGCTACTAGCCATTTGGGCGCTCTATCCAGTGTTAGTACAGGAGGAAACCGGGGACCGGGAAACCTGTGATGTTTGGTAGTGAGGGTCACACTGGATAGCACCCTTCTCATGTGTGTCTGGGCCGAGGCTCAAACCCTTGACATATTGGTGAGAGTTATGCCTTGGCGAGATGCGTGATGAGGCTCATGAAATAGCTAGCGAATATATTATGGTCATAATTTATCTAGGCAGCCCCTTCCGGCAATAAGCCCAACCAGAAGTACCATGGAAATTGATAATTAAATAGATATTATAAGTGTTTAAATGGTGGCAAAATATATGATTATGATGTTATGATATGATAAGTAAGAGGGACGCTGAGTGGGTAGACTCAATTCACAAGCAATAAGAGCGACTTTTTACTTTAATTATAAGCATAAATAAATGCACAACCAATATATATATATATATATATATATATATATATATATATATATATATATATATATATATATATATATATATATATATACTCTCTATATATATATATATATATATATATATATATATATATATATATATATATATATATATATATATATATATATATATATATATATATATATATATATATATATATATATATATATATTAGCAATGCATGAAGGATAAGGGAAATTGTGGGGTAAAACATTGTGGAAAAACTAATCATGACACTAAAATTATGTCTCTATGTGCTTTGTCCATGAAGAAATTAATTAACTATCATAAATATTGCTCCAAAAAATTTGCAGTCAATGTGTGTTGTCTACCAAATTTGTTTAAAAAAATTACAACTGACCCGCTTGATCCGAGCGTACTCTCACGTCCACAAAATAAAAATTTAATTACACCATTACACTTCAACAAAGTTGCTTCCATTGGTGCCAAATATCAAAATAAGTACCTTCTGTTTAATATATTGGGGCTCTGACCCCCGGCTTGGAAGTTAGGGAAGGTTAGGTAGGTTTCTTTGGTTGGTTAGATCATGCTCTATTAGGTTCTTGTAAATTTCATGGAAATGTCTGAGAACAGCATTACCACTAGAAACAGTTGTTTGATTTCATTAATTTTTTCCACAAATGTTCTTATCATTATAGTAAATATTTTAAAATAAGCAACATTTACTAGAAACTGACCTAACCAACTAAAGAATTCTACCTAACCTTACCTAACTTCCTAGCTGGGAGGTGGAGCCCCTGCCATATTAAACAGAAATTATTGTACTTATTTTGATATCTGGTACCAATGAAAGCAACTTTGTTGAAGCGTCATGGTGTAATTTGTCAATTTTTGTGGACATGAGACTACGCTTGGACTGTGCAGGTTGGATTTAAACAAACAGCAGACGACAACACACGCTGACTGCAGCTTTTTAGGAGCCGTATTTAAGGTAAATAATTAACTTCTTCACGTACAAAGTACGTAGAAAGATCATTTTAGTGCCATATGATGAGTTCCTTACTGTGTTTTACCCCACAATTTTCCTCATCCTTCATACCCTGCCCACTACAAGTAATTTATGATCTTAGATAGAGAAACACTAAACAAAAATACTTATAATTGAAATAGAAAGTTGTCACATCTTTTAAAATACTAACTATAATGATAAGAACATCTGTAGAAAAAAATAAAAAAATCGATCAACTTCTTCCAGTGGTAATGGTGTTCTCAGAAATTACGGTAATTATATAGGACTCAACAGTGAGCAAAATTTATGGGAAAAAATTATGAAAACACCGGATTTTCACTGTTATATTATAGTGGACAATGTTGTAGTTTGTGGAAATATAGAAAAAAAATGGATATTTAAAAAATAAATGCTATTTAACATTTGCGGGTATGAAAAAGACCTAACCAACCTAACCAAACAAACATACCTAACCTTACCTAACTTCCTTACCGGGGGGCAGAGCCGATCAATAGGTGAAGAGGATATAAGAAAAATAAAAGCAACAGAGACGTGACCGATTGCCCAAGCGGCTAACGAGCCGATCAGTGGCGAAGAGGATAAGAGTAAAAAGTAAAGTAAAATGATATGGTGAAATTTGAGGCATTTTCTGGACGTGATATGATATGGTGTATCAGCTCTAGGCAGCCCGGGAGGTGGAGTGATTTACTGTGTTGCGGGTTCCACAATAAATGATTGTCATATCAGAACTCACCGATGAAAATAATGTAAGAAAATAAACAGTAAGAAAAATGACTAGCTCATGGGTTAGTCCTATATATTAACCGAAATTACATTACGATGTTCTCTTTAATACCCTATTTTCAATAATTGACATGTTTTCTCTAGTCAACACAACCAAAACACCTGACAGCTCCAGCATCACATTGTGGCATGTAATATCTCACATAATAATTGTTAATTTAAGGTAACAGCATTACTGTGCTCGATAACTACTAAATTACTGATAATTAGTCCACGTTACGATAGAAGAAACACTTGGCTCACTTTTATGTTGGCGGTGTTTTGCCTCTACCTTCCCTCCCACCCCACTTTATGACCTAGTTTACCCTACAAAGAAAATTATGGTTGTATATTTTGTTTATTAATGAAACAGTATAAGGCCTTACCATCTCGGTGGCGGTGCAGTGAGCCGCCTCTCATGGCCTCGTGATGGACGCCGCTATTAAACGTTTTGCCGCGGTCAGTGAGTCGCCATCTTGTGTTGTGACCATGCGCGACTCAACTTGTCCCGACCCCTGCACCACTCTCTCACAAACTCACTTTCAATTGTCTAAACTATAATGTTGGTAAACACTTATGATTTAAATTGTAATTATATGAGATATAGATTGTTATATATGCTTTTGGATACATTTGATTCTTATATTGACATAATCGTAGAATATAATATGAGCCAACACATCCGGAGGTGTTGGTGGTGAGGCTGACGTAGTGTTTGTGTCATCTGGGGGAGTTATTGGCTGCATATTGCTAATGCTGCGTAACTCATCTATCAACATCATTTCGCATGCCAGCTGTTAGGTATTGCTGATCACACTTGCTTGTTAAGAGGAGGATCACGTTGCCGTACGTGGCATTTTAAGGTGAAAAAATGTCTGAACGTAAAGTCCTTAACAAATACTATCCTCCAGACTTTGACCCATCTAAAATTCCTAGGGCAAGATGTCCAAGGAATCGCCAGTTTACTGTGAGGTTGATGGTTCCCTGCAATATCAAATGTTATACATGTGGGGAATATATTGCCAAAGGAAAGAAATTTAATGCCAGGAAAGAGGATGTAGAAAACATGACTTATCTCGGTGTTCGAATCTATCGTTTCTACATAAAGTGCCCAGGATGTCTTGCTGAAATATCTTTTAGGACAGATCCAGAGAGCACAGATTATGTCATTGAGGCTGGTGCTCATCGCAATTTCCAAGCATTAAAGTTGGCAGAGGAACAAGCAGCGAGAGAGGAGCGTGAAGCGAGGGAGGAGATCGAGTCCAACCCAATGTTGCTGTTAGAAAACCGAACTCAACAATCCCAGTACGAGATGGAAGTATTGGAGTCGCTTGAAGATCTACGTGAAATGAATGATCGGCATGCAGGTATTGATCTTGGAAAAATTGCAGAGAAGTTCGAAACTGAACGAAAGATGACACAGGAACAAGTGGAGGAAGCAGAAAGATTAGCAGCATTACAAGCACTTGGTTATGAAATGATAGAAGGACAAATGGTAAAAAGAGTTGCTCCTGAAGAATTAGAGGAAGAAAAACCACTAAAGAAGAAAATCAAAATAGAAAAGGATACCAAAGTTACCGATGTCCTTACAAGTTCTTCGCTGAGTGTTGGAGATAAATTTAAAAAGGGTAACATGAAATCTAGGCTGGCAGGCATGATTAAAATTAAAGATTCACAAACAAAAAGGGATAAAAGCACAAATGAACCTAAAGGACCCAAATCAACTAAATTAACAGATGTACCGTTACCGAACACATCAAAGCCGGTAGTTCCTTTATCATCATCAGATAAAAGTGTTGATAAAGTTTCATCTAGTACATCTGTGGTAAAAGATGAGGTACAGAATGTTGTATCAAAAGGTCCTAGTGGGTTGTCATTCCTAGGGGCATATTCTGATTCAGAGTCTGATGAGAGTAACTGAGTATCTTTCTCCAGCTGTTACTATTTTGTTCTTGTTGAAATATTGGATG